ATAGGAAAGAGATTTTTTTTTTCGCAAAACGATTAAACAAACATTTATTTTTCACTAAACCTTATGTGTTTAATTCACTGCTAAAATTCATAAGGAACCACGTGGTCAGTGAAAAAAAGATCTTAAAGTTCATTAGACCATCTGCATTGGGGGATCGCCCCCCCTGATCTAAGCATTATTTAAATCCAAAAAAATGGGTTAATGGGCTTAAGATCAGGAACTGGGCTCTTGACCTGGATCTGTTCTTGTGGGTGTTGCGGGGTGACGTGGCATTTGGGCATTGGTTGGAATATTCAACATATTTGGAATAAATTTGGATAATAAACTATGTATTAATTAGATAAAATGTTTTTGTGCTTTTATTAAGTAATATGTTTGTTTGTTTATTGTTATTTATATTTTTAATGTTTTTTTCATAAATATTTAGTATTGTATTTTCACTTTTATTTTCAGTTTTTCATAAATTTGGCATTTGCAATTTATATGTTATTTTTAAATGTTTTAATAATTGTAAAATCTTAATTTAATTTAGATTATTATATTATTAAGTCTTAAGATCTTACACATGTTCTCCCACTAATCAACTTCTAAACAAAAGATCTAAACACATGATCTTACATTATTTTAACATTATATTCTCTATAAGAACACCCTCACATGATCCCCCATTGATGATGCCCTTAGTGGTAAAAGTTGTGTGTCACATTTGACTTATAATTAAATACAAATAACGCGTTTTTGGTCTTCACCAATTTACCACCAAACCCAATGAAAAAAATAAAAAGAGAGTGTCGACGTTGGAATTCAAAATATCAAATAAATACGTGTTTCTTCAAAATTACACCCCTTCTCGTTCTAACATTTTCACACAAATTAAGAAAAATAAACAAATCTCATTTATATGCTGTATCAATACACTAAATAATATTTTCTTTCTAATTAATAAGCTGGAATAGTAGAGATAAAAAAAGAGAATTAATCTTAAAAACTGCATTGAAAACATAAAACGACACTTTTTGTGACTCTTTGTGAAACAAGATTAAAACATTAAAACAACATTCTTTGTAAAACGGAAGGAATATCATTCATAATCCACGATATATACGTACTTACTTCAATAGTATAGAAAGAAACTGATTTCCCTCTCGAATGTTCAAACTTCAAACCATTGAAAGGTAAAGATAACTTATAATATTAGTCACTAATTGCGTTTAGCAATGAATAAAGATGCCAATTATGATCGTATCTCCATCATCTAATAAATAATGAAGAATAAGTCTTTGGTTATATCATATAATAATACAATGTAGAAAACTTTGATATTGGTGTTGGGGCCTCCCGTCCAACACGGTCCAAGAATCATGTTCAATTAACACTAATTCTCCTTTCACCCAAAGTTTTCCATATAATCTCATGATCATGATTGTCTTTTCACTTTTAATTTCTTTTTGCTCCTTGTATCCAAGAAAATAGGAACCAAACTCGAAATGCAATTGAAAGATGTGAGCAGAGATGAAACCTAAGTAGTGTTTCAACAAGATCTTTATATGAACAAGATTACAAGGGAATTCGACACTAAAAGGGCAAAGACAATCATGAGTTCAGGAAAAATTTACTCATAGCAGAAAATGTTCCTTAATTCTATGTAGCAATTTGAACTACAAAAGACTTTATACTCTAAGAATTAGGGCAGCTGACTATTTTTTTAGAACAAAATTCCTTTTTAAAAAAAATTATATACATTTTTGAGTTAATGTTATATACACGTACATATATCATGAGAATTAGTATTTAACTGTTTAATTTAAGGAAAACAAAGTTTTAAAGAATTTTGTTTTAGGTTAGAAATGAAATGTTGTTACCGCTTTAACCAATATTGAACATCTATTTAAAGAAGAGCACCAACATTTTATGAGAAACTAGAAATCTCTCAATATTCATCTAGATTTTATTTTATCCTTTCATTTTTATTTTTATTTTGGCTACCTCTCACACTTTAATCATTCTATCATTCCTCTCACACTTTAATCATTCTATCATTCCTCTCACATGTTAGTACCGCTATAAAGTATGTTGGTACTTTAGAATGTTGATATTGTTCACTTTTTTACTTTTTGTTATGATCGGTTATAAAACAAATGTGGTACATCTCTTACCACAATAGTTAGAGAATACCAATCACACTCTAGGATATCTTCTATTAAAGTGTGTAATGTCATAATAATAGTTAAGTTATAGGGGATATGTAAATATTTTGTGTAAGTTAAAAGGGTATCTAAGCAAAAGAAAAGAGTGTGAATTGATTTCGAGGCCACGCGTGAGTCTTCTTGATTTCGAGACGACGCCAACGTAAAGTCCAATTCCCCACTTGCATGCAGCAAATTGCGCCTGAGATCACGTGATGCTTTCGCCTCACGTGACTCTTCTATCTTGCAACTTAATTATCACTTAAATCATGTGTTGAAGAAGGTATGAATAATTTTATTAAATTAAATTATCACTTAATTATCACCGTTGTAGTTATTCCAACGGTATTTGTTGATGGTTGGAGGCTTGGAGCATTAAGAGTCTAAAATTATCAAATTTAGTTACAAACAAAATTACCGAATTGAAGGTAAATAAAACACCTTTTAGAAAACTTAAGATTACTTATGTTAAGATCGAAAGGGTTAGTGATATTAAAAGAATATAAGTACTGCTAGAAGTAAAGTTGGGCACAAGGAAATTTTACTTGCTAATATGAACATTCGAGACCCGACTTGCTTTGTACAAGTATTTGCACAAGGCAAACTTATAATAATTTAAAGACTATTAATCTACTATAATAATTTAAGCATTAGTAATTTAGTGACAAGTAACGAATATCAAGTAAATTTTAGCAAGTAAAAAATAATGGGCCGAACAAGTAATATAATATATTTTTTGATTTGTTACTTGACTTGAACTTACAAATTGCAAGTACAGTAAAACCTCTATAAATTAATAATGTTGGGACCATGAAATTTTATTAATTTAGAGAGGTATTAATTTATCGATAAATTAATAATTATTAATTTATAAAGAGATTTTACTAATTTTATAATTTTTTACAAAATTTCTGTCTAAAAATTATTTTTTTCTTTATAAGCAATATCTTTTAAAAACCAATTGCAAGTAGAGAAGCAATTATTAAGTTTAAAAAACAACACAAACTTTTTTAGAAAAATGGAGTCATATTTCATTTAATTTTTTTACATATAATATTTTAAATATATATCATAGTAATTCATATATGAAATATATCAATTTATATCATAAATATATTAAGTTAAATATACATATATATTGATAAGTTTATACAATTATTAATTTATACAATAGATGGGACCATATGTTTACATGGGATTTTTAAAAAAAATATTATCTTATTAATTTATCGATTTATGTCATAATTTACATTGGTCCCAACTCGGGACCGGAAAAATTTATTAATTTAGAGAGGTTATTAATTTATAGAGTATTAATTTATAGAGGTTTTACTGTAATCTAATTTGCTGACTTGTTATACGATTTATCTAAAACAAATACTTGTTTTTTAAAACCATATTCGAGGCAAGTATATAGCGGATACAAGCCGGAGAACAATTAATTGTATGCCCTAACTAGAAGACCTCCGACAAATATTAATCAAATCAACTCTTTCTTCTTACTCATAACATCATCCATTTAAGTCGGAAGAAAATCCAAATGTAAAACGTTTATGAGTAGTTGTTCTTTACAAATGTCTTAAAACGATATTCTTAACGGCCAAATACCTCCAAAATGAACCACAAAAAACAAAAAAAAACTATATCAATCGCCTCAATGACAAATCAAATTCAATGAAAGCTAAAGATGAATACTACAAAACCTTTTAAGAAGTATGTGAAAAGGTTTGGTGGCTTTAGAACACTATTTTTCTATAGTTTGAAAATGTATTCAAAATCAGAATAACACGAATTATTTAATAGATTCATAATTGAATATATATATATATATACTATCATGAATATTGGTCTTAAATGTTTTTGATATACTATCTATTTGTACAAATGTAGTAATTACTTAATCCTATAATAGAAGTACTAATCTATCCCAGAACGATGTTTATACTTGTATAGAGACCTTTTCTCCCAACTAATTTTCTACGACTGTTGCCAAAAAAAATAAAAAAGATATGAAACGCTAACACCGCAAAAAAGGCAGAAAAATGAGAATTGATGCCAAATAGAAAATCATGCCGCCAAGTGGTGGCACTAAAGACATGTGACCTGGTTTCATTGGGTATGGTCTAGTGCACCTTTAACTTCTGCTCTGCATGGAATCTTCAGTCTCCACGAGTCCAAGTGCCGTGCGAATGTTAAAATTTTTAACTCTACAATAATTATCATCAATCAATATAACCAATTCAACTGTTGATATGTTTCCAAAACAACCGTTCTTACAAAATACTTATCTTTAGGCAAGTTTATATTTGATATGCTTCTGTCTAGACCAGCTATGCCTACAGTACTCGCTAGTCTAACAAGACTAGCTAATGTTCTTCCACGAAGAACAAATTTAACCGTAGAAATGTATATGTGGGTTTTTGACCCAAAACACTTTTTCATAACTATTATTTGAAACATTTCATTAGTTTTTTTTTATTTTACATCTTTAGATCGACAAGACCCGATCCATAGCCAATCTCTACTATGCGGGGTAACGCGACTTAGTAGAATCGAACTCCAGTAAAAAAAGCGGAGTCAAATGGACTTAACCACCTGACTAAAAGCACATCACCAGAAACATTTCATTAGTTACAACATTTATATTCAGTTTCTTTTATCCATATGTAATACTATTTTTAAATATATTCAAATATGTATCTTATATAGCGGGAGTCAAATACATTATTTTAGGATTATTGATGTATAAACAATATTTTAATACTTCTTCATTGAACGAGCCCTCTATATAAACGGTGAGAGTTGGGTGGGTATCTCCAAGGTGAGGTTGAGAGCATCTTCCAAAAGAGAGAGAGAGTGTGTGAGAGAGTGAGTGTGGGTGAGAGAAAAAAAAAAGATTGAGAGATTAAATTTTGAGTGAAATTAGGGTTTATCTCTCTTCTTGTTTTCTTTGCTTCGTTTCATCTTCAAACCAAAAAAGAAACTCTTCCCTGTCCTGTTTAATCATCTGTCGTCTTTCTTGAGAAAAAACAAATCACGATTTTCTTATGAAGTGTTGGTTTATGAGTTTATATTTTGCCAAAACTCATCTAAAACGACAAACTTTTGTTTAAAATTTTAATTTGAAAGTGTTTTCAAGAAAACGAGATCCATCATTGTTTCCCAAAAAATATTATGAATTTTTCTGTGAATTAATATTCTTTCATTCTTTTACAGAGTTGATCAACTTCATGGGCATTTTTTAGTTCCCTCAAGTTTTGATCCTCTTTTTTAATTTATTTTTTGTTGATAAATTTGTTTTAGTTTTGATCTATGGAGGTTGCTTATTTCAAACCTCGTTGATCAATTTTATTTCTGTAAAAAACTAAAAACCAGTCTTTGAATTTTTTCTAAAAAGACAGGTTTTATTTAATATTTTTTATTTATTAATCTTGTATTTTTTGTAGTATATCTTTTTTTTTTTTGTATTTCAGGGAACTCCGATGGCGGATTTCTTCGGCGGTGGCCATGGCGGCGAGCTTATGGAAGCACTTCAACCTTTTTACAAAAGTGCTTCCACGTCTGCCTCAGATTCTGCGTTTGCGTCCTCAAACGATGCGTTTGCGTCTGCGCCAAACGACCCATTTTCTTCTTCCTCTTACTATAATCCTCATGCATCTTTCTTCCCTTCAAATTCCACAACCCTGTACCCGGATCTTTATTCCGGATCCATGACCTATCCATCATTCGGGTCGGATCTCCAGCAACCCGATTCTCTTGAACAAAACTACCAGTCTCAGTTCCATTACCAAAACAATATCAGTTACTCTCATCTAGAAAACACTTGTATGCTAAACTTTATTGACCCGAGCCAACCAGGTTTTCTAACCCAACCTAGTCCGGCCTCGGGTTCGGTTTCAAAGCCCGCCAAACTCTATAGAGGAGTGAGGCAAAGGCACTGGGGAAAATGGGTTGCGGAGATCCGTTTACCCAGGAACCGAACCCGACTCTGGCTCGGAACATTCGACACGGCTGAAGAAGCCGCGTTGGCTTATGATCGCGCCGCGTTCAAGCTTCGTGGTGACTCGGCTCGGCTTAATTTTCCAGCTCTCCGCTACCAAACCGGCTCGTCTCCGGGTGATTCCGGCGAATACGGACCTATTCAAGCTGCCGTTGACGCCAAGCTGGAAGCCATATTAGCCGAGCCGAAGAATCAGCCGGGGAAAACAGAGAGGCCGTCGAGGAAACGAGCTAAAGCCGCAGCTTCTTCGGCTGAAAAGCCGGCAGCGCCACAACTACATTCCGGGTCGGGTGAAAGTGACGGGTCGGGTTCGCCGACGTCGGATGTTATGGTGCAGGAGATGTGCGAAGAGCCGGAGATGCCGTGGAATGAAAATTTCATGCTCGGCAAGTGTCCTTCTTATGAGATTGATTGGGCTTCAATTTTATCATGAAAAGTTAGGATTCTATTCATTTTTATTAATTAAATTTAATATGTTTTGTATTTTGTTCTTAAAATTTAGTGTTATTTAGCTGTGCTTAAAATTTGTAATTTAGCATTTTGTATGAATGTAATGCAAGTGTGTAAATTATGGACAGCTCAAGCTTTTTTGTTTTTGCCGTACTATGTAGATCTCTCTTCTTTTCTCTTAATTGAAATGAATTTGGTAAGTATATCTACTTTTCTAATGTCTAGATTTTTTTTTTTTGCTATTCTCTCATTTTTTTCATTAGTATTGCTACACATAGAAATAAAAGTTATTTATACAAAGAGTACTTTTTCGGAAATGTACTGTGACAATAGAACTTTTAAAAAAAAGAAGATATTGTAACAAATTAGGATCGTGAAGTTCCATTATGCGACAGGACCATTGTGCTTAGCTTAGAAATGATTAAAAAGTAAATTAGCCTAAAGGGAACCATATAGAGTCTAATTTCGAAGAAGTCAAAAAAGAAACACAAGAGTGGAAGAAAAGGACCCGTAAGTGAAACTTTAGGTGGTATCAAATGATAAACCTCATGCAAAGTTAAACCTACGTTGACAGCTTTCCCAAACTTTCTCTTTAGAATAGACGGAGTTTTAGATGATAATTAAAAATTTTATCAACCTTTTATAACTTAAAACAAAAGATTAGAATTTTCTTTTCCCAAAAATGGTGACAAAAGTTAGTTTTAACGAGTAAACTTTGTCAAAAGAGAAAGGAAGACTTGGATGATAAAAATGTCCACGCAAATAGAGAAACCAAGGGCCAAAGCAAAGAAAAAAAAAGACAGTCATATAAAACACATGCACATTTGGGTATCAGTTTGGTTCGGATCGAGTATTTTGGATTTCGGCTAATTTGATATTAGGAATCGAAGTACCATTAAGGTATTTTAAAGTTTTGGTTTAGGTTTACGTTCAGTACCCTTCGTGTTCAGGTCGGTTCGGATAGGTTATTCAAGAACCAATAATTTTTCGGGTATTGTTCGGTTCGACTACTTTTTACCGAATCTACCCAAATTACCCAAAATATCCTAATTTAATCGAATGAAAAAGTAGAATTTGGGGAGTAAAAAATTATCGAATATGGTTCTAGTTGGTTACTTTTTACACTATCCAAATTTTTCAAAAATATCTAAAATACCCGATTAAACCGGACAATATAGGTAATTAGTTTAGTTAGATTTCAGGTTTATTGGGTCGATTCTCGGATATTATCCAATTCAAACTGATGTAAGTATCTGAAGACAAGACCCAATCGGATATTTTTGAAGATCCAAAACCAACCCGAACCGCTTTTTCTGTTTGGTTTTGGTTCAAATCTTCCAATCCGGGTAATTTGCGGAGAGCTTGTGTCAAGTTTAAACAAATCATGAGTTGCAATAAAAATGAATAGATTCACTAATAACAACTTTTACATCAATACTAATAACGCTTTTTGGTATTATAAGCGTTTTTTATGGAGATTATTTTGTTCTTTTTTCATTCATTGAATCCATACACTAGATGCAAAGATAGACTCAAACTTAACTTTAGATTCAAAACCCATAATATCTTCAAAAGACAATAAGTCAAAAGACGATAATTGTAACGCACGCATGAGGCTGTCAACAGCTGGATTGATACAACCCAAGACTTATCCTTCAATTTTCATTAAAAGAGTGTAACGTACCAATGTATATATTTTATATAGTCAGCTTAAGAAAAATAATTAAATAAATGATACCATATTACATTTGACGCGTTGGGGTATGAATCGTATTATCCGCAGAACAAAAAAGAGAAGAGACCAAACCCCAAAAAGGCTTAAACAAAAAGTAAAGGATCAGTTAAATTTACCAATTTCCATCTTCTTCTTGATAGCTTTTTGACCATGGTATATAAACGCGTCTATTATCCCGGATACTGTGAAAACACCTGCCATTTTTACATGTTTTGTTTCGGATTTTAATTATGCACATCAACCAACAAGTGTTCTTATTGTATATAGAGAGATTAGAGCGAGTTCTTATGGTATATAGAAATTAGAGATGTACCTCCGACTATGGCGCAAACATTCGTCAAGAAGTGCAAGAACGATATGTGTTCCTCCGTAAATGTTACCTGCCGAAACAACACATCTATATTAGGATTATGAATATACTATTTCGTTCTCTAGAGTTGGAGTTTGAACACAAACACACTTACCTTGATTGGAGAGAGATCATAGAAGAAGAAAACTCCTGGTAAGGATTGCAGCTGACCCGCTTCTGAGCTCTTTACGTGTTCAGTCACTGAGAACTGCCAATTTTACTTTAAGTTAAGATCATAGGAGGATGAGAATGAATGGATAATAAGGTCTAACAATTAAGACCCTCGCCTCACCTGATTTGATTGAATTGTGTGTCCTCTGATATCTGTGTATACTGTTGGTACAACCTTTTGAAAGCAGACAAACCAGAATAGAGTCAACGCGGGTATTTTAAAGACGAATTGAAGTATGATATAATGTTTGTCTTGGAACAAACCTTGATAAAGTATTGGTACATAGCATTAGGTGTGTCTTGACTCCACTCGACTCTGCAATTTTAAGTACGTTAGAGCATGACAAATAAATAGAGTGTCAAAGGAATAGATCAGAATGGTCGTTACTTGTCAAGAGGGTTAACGACGCCAGGAAAGTAGTCCCCATAAGTCAGTCTATTGATCTTGTGACTTATCTGCAGGGAGACAAAACGTATTGAATTATATAAAATTAGAAGCATAACGAATGAATTGAAGTCAATAGGACAAGTCCTTTCTTACATTAAAACTGTCTTTCTGAAAAGCAAGAAGATCATGAACGTGCACGCCCGACTGATGAAAGCTTTTCCCAGGAGCAAAGTGGAAGTTTCCAGCCACCTTATTGACCTCCAAGAACCCGTAGATATTACACCCTTCACCTTCTTCATCCTTTACTCTTTGTAGAAAACCTTCTCGTTTACACTGAATAACAAACAGATAAGTGAAACATATTTCAGCTCACAGTTGGAATATAGAAACTCTTAGAAGCATATTTATGTCAGTTTAGAGCCTCACAAGTGCATACAAAATAAACAAATTTCTCACAAGCCTTTGAGACTCTAACAGAGCAGAAGAGGAAGACGAAACAAGAAAGCAAGAAAATGAAACTAAACTTGCTATTACCGTCTACCGAAATGAAACACTGATGCCAGAAATTTAAAAGGCGAAGAACCTATTTCTCAGCAAATTACCTGGTCAATCAAATCTGGATTTGTAACCCCCCAACCTTTCTTTCTATAAGCTTCACGAACATCCTCACATGAATTGCAGCAGTCATGCTCTTCCTGTAAGCAAAACAACATTTGTCACATGAAAGCTCAAAGATAGAGGAAAGCCAGACTGAAAAAGCAGCATCAAATATCCTGAAATGCTACGTATATGTTATGCAGAAAACAAGATCCACTATGACATCTGTTTTTGTTTAAAACATTATGACCTCTTGACTAGCACTAAACAATCAAGAGTAATCTGAATGTAATGCTCCATAAAGACAGAAAAAGATTACACAATTACCGCTTCAGCACCATAGCAAGAACCACAGTAAGTCTCGTTATGTTCCAGCCTGCCACCATGTTTCTGCAGTGGTTTTTCAATCTGCACAAGCACAAAAAAAGTATGAGACTTTACAAGGCAGGAAGCACGGGTACTTCTATTTGGTAGCCGTCCCCGTACCGGGGACGTTTCGGAAGCAGGGACAACATGGGGACGTCTCGGAGCTGTCCCCAAGATGTTTCCAGCAAGACGGGACAACAAGCAGTTATGGGGACGAAAGGGCTGGGACTATTAGACCCCTAGTGTTTTATAAGCGTCTCTAGATGCTTCGGAGGAAGTTAACATCGAAATTTTGATATTTGCATCCATTTCATTTCATTCCGAGCACTCTTATCAAAAGCATACTTTCATCTCTTCACGTTTCTTCTACTTTCTAAGCGCTTTTTGCCTCTCTCCTTTTTCCATTAGCTTTTCTAGTCACCTCTCACTGAAGGTATGGGTACCTTTTCTTATATGTTTATTGAAGTACCCATGCCGTACCCGTATCTATGAAATTTTACTTTGCCGTTTCCCGTCCCCGTTTCCGTATCCGTTTCTAGTTCCCGTACCCGTTTCAGTGCTACTAAAAAACAAACCGATTTCAGATCCTGACTCTTATCTATTCAATTTCCCATTTGCCTGCAGCTTAATCCTAGCCTAATGACTATAGACTCCCAGAATATATAATGACAAGTATGCCAAAACAGTTTCAATCTTCCATTTAAGAAATCATAGATTATCCAGTCCAGAAAGACAGAGAACAAACCTTAGTAGCGCCTATTCCGTCCTGTCTTGCCTCTATAGTATTGCCATTAGAATCTAATCTTCTCTTTATAATATCATGTTTCTGTAATTAACACATATCACAAGCTTAATAATGTCTCAAGCACAAAAATTAAGAGTCACTGAAGTAATACAGAAAACAATTCAAACATACCACGTCAAGATGCAGCTCTCCACTAATATCCATAGCATCAACACTAAGAATCGAACATGCTAGAGCAGGAAAAGTTATATCAAACTGCACAATCAATAAAACTAATAAGAGATCTAATCCAATATAAACACTAAACAAGTCAAAATCACTATTCAGAAACTGAAACAAGAGAGATCAAGCATAACATTACATTGATACGTAACGTCTCTCCTCTTGAAGTATCTACTATAAGCTTCGTCTCTGTGACGGTATGAAGATAAAGACCTAAACAACAAAATCAAAGAATTTCAAAATCGAAACTGGAAATGGAAGCTTAAAGCTGCAAATTCATGGAAATTGACAAAATTGGAAGCGAAATTGAGAGGTTTATACGTACGGAGCTCGGAGAAGAAGAGAAGAAACATAACAACGGAGGAGAGGAGAGTGATAACTCCGCCGGATAATGTACGGCTGTAGAAATCTTCATTGATCTTAGGATATGCATCTAGATTCCGCAGTTTATTCAAGATCCCGGCCATTTAAACACCTCCGGGCACGATATTCGTAGATTAAGTTCACCGGATTCGAATCCAGCACCGAACCTTAGCCGGCGCGAATACGATTAGGTAGGGTGTCCGGAGAGAAAATCAGACGAGAGAAACGTCGTCGGAGGCGAAATTGTTCCGACGATGCGTGAATAGATCT